TCGTCACTGTGTCATTAAAGGCAATGAGATTGCTGACGCAATTGCTAAGAAGGGGACAACGATTTCGCTATGCATGGACCGGCCGATGTCTTTCCACACAATGAAGGCCTTAATCAGGAGAGAATTCAAGACCTCAATGTGCAACGAAGTTGAAGCTCGAACAAAGGAGAAACAGTGGACAGTGGCACTCTCCGGCATAGCCGACTGGCCAAGAATCGAAGCTGTTGCTGAGTTTAGACTACGTACCCGACACGTTTGCCTGGCAAAACACCTTCACAGATTTGGAGTATATACTCAACCCATTTGCCCTCTATGCAACCTACAGGAGGAAATGGAGAAGACAAACCTGATTCGGTGTCCAGTCCTAAAGGCAACGACGGGAATCCAGAGATACTGGGAACCAAGAAGACAACTGATGAATTGCTATTAATTAACTACTATATATGTACCCCCCACCCATGGGAAAGCTGAAGTCAAAGATTAAGGACAAATGATAAATATCATAAGGCCTACCATTTGAAAAAAATTATAATTCTTTTAACTACTCCCCTTTGATTCTACGTTGCTTTATCCATGAGGTGTCTTCAATAAGTGCTTTTTAAACCACGCCATCCTAAACTATAAGCAATATGTGAAATCGGAAAGACATTTTACAATCTCTCTGCACTAATTGAGTCGACTGCAGTTTATCAATATCTAATGAGCACCATTATCATGCCACAACAGTAGTGTCGTGTTTCCACATTCCAATAACGGTAGATATTCATAGCCCTTGAGGTAGGTGAATTTCTTCCACAGGAGCTCATTGGCAGTCTACCTGCTTGAGCTATCCTGATTGATCTAATAATTGCTACTCAAATTTGAGCATATCCTTTCAGTAAATACTATAAGTAGTTGAATACCCTCAAAGTATTTACATAAATGGCAGGCGTTCTGATAGTTATCATAACCCCTTTAGTTGAATACAGGCTTCACAGAGGGGAAGGAACATCAAAGTGGAAAAAAGTCGAGAGGGGGGAACAGAAGAGTGCTTCAAAGACGAAGGTAGAACAAAGGTGAGGTGAGTACTGTGGAGGTAGTCGAATAGGGCATGCAGTGGTGTCATGGCAGTTTGAAGTCAGAAGTCAACTGCCCATTAATAGACTTTTTGCCCTATGAATATACGCTGCCCAGGGTCCACCACGTGGAAGTAAGTCTATCGCACACCCCATACCCTCAAAGTCATTATGCCTAAAATAATTTCGGAACCTACTCTAAGTAGAAGCGTTAAACTTTCAAAATCATGCCATATTTCATTAATGCATCGTGTTTATACTGCTGATAAGAGGTAATTGGTAGGGGTTAGTGAAAATCACCTACGAAATGCAGTATAGCAAGGTAGTAGAATGTGTTTGCCGTCTAAATGGCAAGGAGTGATTTGCGTTTAAGGACAATACTGGAATCGGTGTTTGCAGTATTAACGCCATAGGAATCTCAATAGGCGACACGTAAGAGATTAAGGAAGCAAGTTGCAGCCAGGCGTATTCAAGATTAAGGACACTGATTATATTTGATATTTCTTGGATCAATGTAATGCTAGTGAAAGCTCACAAGAAACTTTTTTTCCTTTCTAATTTATACTTAACTGTTGTGGCCTTATAATCATCATTCTGACTTTCTATTTAACTGCTATTGAATAGCATAAACTGAACTTGGGTGGGGGAAGGGGGAGAGGTGAAGGGTTCAATGCCCAGTCCTTGAGATAAATTTCTTGTCAAATGAATTCTACGATTGATCCGTGTCCACAAAAGAACGGACAGACAACTCGCAAACTTCCAAGCTATTGATAATAACCTTGAAGGCTGAGTCAGTGACTTGTGGATTTAAGTAATTTTGTCTGTGTATACATACACAGAACCGGAATTATCACGGAAGTGGTCAATAATTGCATTAGAACATAAGTGCGTTTAAACAGCACAGAACGGTACTAACCTAGTGACATCCAGGTAGCCTTCTACCTCTATCGCACTAAAATAATCTCAGTTTAATTAAATTCTTGCATTTCAATTACGGGAGGATAGATTTTAACAGAGGAAAGCCTATATTTCTGAAAGATGCTCACGTTAGACGACAGAATTCAGCAGGAGGTTCAAGCTGACACATCGCATTCGATATTCCTACAAGCATTTAAAAGATTATGTGACTCGTTACTGAAGTGTACAAGTATATTACTTATTTAGCATTTCAGTAACTAAAATTTAGTTTGTATCGATCACGAGCTATTTAACTTTCCACAACACTACATTGCCACCATTGCTTAGTCTTATGGGGGGGGGGGGTTTAAACATATCTACCATCCGAGTAAGGACTACCTCAAGTCAATAATAAAACGCATTCCTTGGTCAGAAGGATAAATGACATTTCTTTTGTGGCGAGTAGAGCTAATTAGAGAGACGTTACTTTTGAGAGCGACAGACAATGGGGGAGGGAAGAATTTTCCAAGGTTTCTAATTCGTTTCTGCGGTGCATTGACATGAATTCGGTCAATCCCAGAAAGTGTTCCCCATCTCCTCCCTCCCCTCCTCCTCCTCCTCCACCTTTTCTTATTGGCTACTTCCCACACCCTTCCCTGCATTAACGCTATTCGGCTTAATTATTTTTGGTCGACGGACAGTGTTATTGCAAATTCAATCGAAAAGTAAACATTGCATGATGTCGTCATTCACGTCTGTTAATTACAAAGGCGTATAATTGGTATCAACTGCATTTTCCGGCTAGTGACAAATTATAAGTGGTCACATCGAACCTCAGTCAAATTGAGACGGACCTTTTTTACATTCTGCCTTCAATAAATCGATGACTTATTGCAGAAAAAAACCCTTAAAAATTGCATCTCTTCATTAACATTGGTGTCAATTGTGTAGCGAGCGCTTTACCAAGTTCTAGACAATGAAGTATCCTGAACTTGGACAGTGAAATCGATGAGATATTGCCTCTGATTACCCAGATAGTTTATTTATGTCAAATGGCAGTCTTTTTTATTGTTATCATCAGACCTTTAGTTAACTTCGGGTGTCCCAGAGGTGAGAAACAGAAGAGGGATTCACGGATGCATGAGAGACAGACACAAAGGTATGGAAGAAGATAAGGTGAGTACTATGGAAGTGGTGGAACATGACATACAGTGGAGTCCTGGAAGTTTGAAGTCAACTGCCGATTTATAGACTATTTTGTTGCGTGTGTGTATGTGTGTATACGTTACCCAGGGTGCATTACATGGAGCTAAGTCTATCGCGCACCCCATAAGTTAAAGATCATTTCAATGATGGGGTGACTAGCTTTCAGTGTTAAATCTACTGATGCCCTGCTTTATTCACGTTTCGATGCCTTGAGGAGTCGAATTTTCTACACTTTGTCACAACTAAAGTCTAATTGGTGTGGTTCAATCCTTGGGTACCTTAATGAGTTCGAGATTGAAGTATCCAAGTTTACTAAGCAGTTAACTTACTTAAACAATTAATTAGTCGCCAACTCAAAAAATTTAGTCTTCTTATGCAACTGGAACAAATCAAATATTAATGCTATGAATATACGTAAAGCATTTTGCTTGTTATTGTAAGATCGATACATTTGCATTAAATCTCTACACTTTATACCGCATCTGATCTCCATCCATCGCTTATATTTTAACTCGCCATCATTGCACTTATACGAAGTCATTCAGGTTTGTTCTTCAAACGCTTAACTGCCCGCTGATATTGGAAACTCTAGATAAAAAAACACCGCCCAAAGCCCTGAAAGCTCAATGCAAAATAATTCACATTGGTGAATAGTGGTGGACTCATTACCCCGATCAAATCGCTTATCCTCTCAATTCCCTCCCACCCACTCCACCTACCCCCCCCCCCTCTCTCCCCCTCTCTCTCTCCCCGGGTTCTCAACTGTGCGACACAACTCCTTACGGACTTGTTCATGTGCCTTTACTAGATCCATGTTCAAACAACTTCTCATAAAGTAACGTTTACATCTCTACTAATGTTAAGTTATTCGAACCAATTCATCACTCATGGCTACATTATATTGGCTATATGGGGTACGCGATAGACTTACCTCTCCATGTGGTGAGAACTGGGCAACGTATACTCATAAGACAAAACAGTCTATTAATCGGCATTTGACTTCTGACATTAAACTGCCATGACCCGACTCTGTCATATTCGACCCCTTTCACAGTACTCATCTTACCTTTTCTCTGCCTTTGTGTCTGTCTATCTCTTTTATATCTGTGAATTACTCTTCTGTTTCCCTCTCGACATTTTGTCCCTTTGATGTTCCTCCTCCTCTCTGTGAAGCCTGAACTCAACTTAAGTGCTAATAATAACTATCAAAACGCCCTTCATTTGAGATATAAATAAATATTGGCTATATGGTAACTTTTTACCGTTCTTTTGAGTGACGCGTTTGAGTCAACCTTTTCGGTTTTCTACCTCCAACTTAAAATGTGGCATTTGGTAAGAATTACATGCAGCCTCCCCCATAAATCATCGTTAATGTGAAACAATCAGAGGAGTTGTCATTTTCAAGCTAATAAATCGATCACACTCCCTGGGTTTAGTCCAATTAAGCAACAAGCAGGTCGAATATCGGTGAATATGAATAAATGTATGTATTCAGCACTTAATACCACACGATATTCAATAGCTCATTCCGACTAAGAGTAGATATTGAATGCAGAAATTTTGAGGGTGCTAAAAGATAGGAGCAAGGAGGGAGAGAGAGAGAAGTGACAAATCAAATCACGAAACTATGCAGAAGAGATGAGGATAATGAAAGATCAAGTATGTAATAACAGCAAAGCGTGATTATCGATTATTAAGGGGAGTGGGGGTGTGGGGGCGGGAGTTTGGAAGAGAGAGAAAGATTTTGGTGGTTCCCGCGCTTGAAAATTGAGAAATGTGATTTGAAAAAAAAATGAGAGCCATGACTTCGGAAGGCCACGAGAGGTCCAGATGTCAAGTTGTCTACTTTGTTTCAACCTCCTCGAAAGGCGCGGGCATCTTCTCCACGCGTGGCTCCACTCCCCATATGTCCTTGGCGTATTCGCGGATAGTACGATCGGAGGAGAACTTCCAGGCGCCAGCAATGTTGGCCACAACCTTGCGACCCCATAGCATCTCATCCTAAAGTAGAAATTAAACCTTATTTTTTTGAAACTACATCTTTGTGGAATAAGCTTTTGAGTCATATGACAGTAGTGGCGAGGTCGGAGATTATTAGGGTAATCCAATTCAATACACGATCAACCTCATTATCTAATTCTTTCAATAAAGATATTGAATAATTATGTTTTCATTGCTTTCTTCTGTTGACACAGCTATTAATCAGAATATCATATGTGAGTTTGTTGTTAAACTTGTGATAAAAAAATATCTGTTAACTTAGAAGGGATATAGACAAGTGGATTACAAAAACCATTAATTGAACTGCAAGTTATTACATTGAACTCGATCGGGTGATCAGAATTACCTTTACCTATTCATCTTCCTGCCCAATTATAAACGTTTCCCTCTTTCCGTCAAGGATATCGACTTGCAGATCGTAACCCACCCATAACCATTGAATTAGCTGGCGTATAAGTTTATCTATGCCAATTACGCTAAACAAAAGCATCTCTCTTGATCGGCTACTTAATTAAGCCACTCCTCCTATTGACCAGAGTGCTTGATCAATAATGGGAATTTTTCTACGCTTGAAGTTAATCGTTAATTCTGACCAGCAATGTGATAGTTAACATTTCTTGTCATCTTTTAGTCAAAGGCAGCACCTAAGAGAGTCATGAAAGGTAGAAAAGGGAAGAGAATTGATCCAATAGATGATGTCGCCTTATTAATTCAAATCTCTTTGGACATATCTCGACTAATATTTAAAAATAAGGAGCCGAGGGGGGGGAGTGTAACTGACCTCATAGGCCTTCTCAACCTCAGCTTGAACACGCATGTAGTCCTTGAAGTCGGCGCAGAGCATAAATCTATCGCCGTACATCATGGTCTTATAGATGTCCCTGAACAAGTCGGGCTGGTCAGGAGAGAAGAAGCCGTTGTTGAGTTGTTCGAGAACTTGTTTCAATTCTGGACAAGCGTTGATGAACTCTTGGGAATTGTATCTAAAGCAGAAAAATGTCACAAATAAAAAAGATCGAATTGATATTCTATAAAAAAGATCCCAGCGGTGCAACCTCTTCTGTGATTGCAATGTATGGAAGTAGCACATAATTATACTTTAACGATTGGTACTATTCAACTACCACAAATTTCGTCTTTTTTGGAACCTATTTCACTCATATGAATACTACTATCCAATAGGTTAATTGTCGTAATAATAACAAATTTTCTTTAGAAAAGCGTTTTCCAACGCGCATATTGTGATAGAAGTGGTATCATGGAACTGTGAACCTAATTCAGCAGACTAGTCACATTAAACAGTGCGTCACCATGTGTGTTAGCTGCGAATCGAACCAAACCCACAAGGGTGAAGGTTTCATTTTAAGTTCCAAGCTATCATAGCATGCCTTTTTGGAAAACCAAAAATCTAGTAGCCTAATCAGTAATAATAAGTCATTCGGTGCTATTCATGTTCGTAAACATTCCAATGCGACAAATGGTAGGCGAACTACTGAAATCACAAATAAGTAGACTCACCCTTTGCGGTTGAGTTCATCGACCTGTTCGACAGTCATACCGAAGATAAACATATTTTCTCGTCCACATTCTTCACACATCTCAATGTTGGCACCATCCATAGTGCCAATAGTCAGGGCACCGTTGAGCTGAAAGCGGAAATCCGGAAACAAACATTAAGTCCGTAAATGGATGTGATAATATGTCTAATTCCATTTGCGGTTTGGTTTTCTTTGCATATACTTTCACAAGGAGAATTTCTTCGGTAGCTTATTAAGGAAAGTGTTAATTATTTTTTGCGTGCGAAGTGCCCAAGTGCTTATTTAGTGATAACCAACAATTTTAGGGCATTGAATCAGCTCCTAGTTTATGACGCAAACCATGATAAAATAGGCATGTTAGTACCGATTGTAATGCATGCCATACTAGCGCCATTCTCAATTTATTGCACAAGAAGGGGCTTTTTTCACCCTCACGTCCTGCGCTGCTGGTCGTGTCCACCGAACAAGTTGGCACGTAACCGTCTTCTGATTGGTTGGACTGATCTAAGGTCACACCACTGCCTTCACAAAACTGCACAGCTTCGTGCAAGCAGACCCAGGGAAACATTTAGTCAATAGGGTAATATGTAACGACGAGAAAAAAAGATGATTTAAAAAATAGCAAGAAGCGATGACCTTGAAGTTTCTTTGCTTTATTGTGGTTTCAATAATGAGGGTGGAGGGAGGGGAGGGGGGTTGCAAATAAGAACATGCATGAAAATTTCGATACTGCCATCCAACGAAATTTAACAGTGAACAGTAATTAGTTGTCTCAAACGAGGCCTTCAATCTCCTAACCACAAATTTGCAACATTCTGTTTGACCCCAGAATAGCACGAGTGGATTGATTAAACC